CCAGATTGTGAAAATGGAAAGCATTTACAAAAGTGCACTTACAAAAGTAAAATTAAAATACATTAAAATAACAATTTCAACGTAATTTTTTGGCCCAAATAAAATGCTGATATAAATAAAACATACTTACATCAATCATCTTGAGTAAGTATACAAAAATTAGAATAGACATCTTTTTGTGTTCAACAGTTTCTTATAAATGAGTTTGAAATTTTAAAGTGTAATAATACTGTGCTTTGATTATTTGTCCCCTCTTAAACTCATATCTAGGCCTAATTGTCATTAAAACTGTATGAAAATGAGTCCTTTAAGAGGCAATTAAGCCATGAGTAATGTTAACATCTAAATGGATTAATACTGTTTACATGATCAATCCTCATGATCAATCAGTGTAGCCAGATTGTATTGCTTTGGCTGTCTTGTCTTCTCATCAGCAACAAAGTTCTCACCAAATGTTGACATGTTTTGGCTTCCTAGCTTCTACAATTGTGAGAAATAAATTTCATTCACAAATCATCTAGTGTCTAATATTCTCTCCTAACAGCATAAAACACACTGTGACATACAGCTATTCCATTATATTATAAAATATGAAATCACAATATTAAGCCAATAAAGATGAAGAAAGAAGATGCATATGGTCAAAGTAGATTATCTGCTTGTATAAAGATAGAACAATAAATCTGTTAAAATTCTTTTAGAAATGAGAAGGCAGGAAAGGGGATGGAAATGTCAAAATAAGCTTCCCTCCCCATATAATTAATATAAGCTAACAAAAAGAAAATGAAGTCTCAAACATATTTAAGTTGTTCTGTGAAATTTAAATACATCTATTTAAAGGAAAACATTTACTATTCTCATTTTAATAGACAATTACTGTTTCAAGTAAAAATTCTTTAGCAGCATGCATTTCATTTCATAAAGCAAAGTTAATGTTCTAGTTTGTTTCCACATTATGGAAACACATTATTATGCAAATCAATTCATTAAAATGAAACTTAAACCAATTTTCTTTTTCAGGATATGCTGACCTAGTACATACAAAAATTTGGAAGGAAAATTTTCATCAAGTACAGTGAGATGCAAAGTAAGAACAAGCTGCATAGTACTGAGCAACTTTCTCCCATCTTTGCATGATGGAATAGATGTTTTTATAAGCTTCATCTACCTCATGCAGCAACTAATATCTTCAACTAATAACTGACTCAAACATAAAAGAAGTTTATAAATATAAAGTAATGATCTCTATGGGATGAAATTGAGCTTTTAAAACATTCTGCCTATAGACCAGTTTCATTATTTCTACAATTCTTTTTTTTTATTGTGAGAATACTGTACAGAGGGGTTACAGTTACATGGGCAAGATAATGAGTTCGTTTTTCAACCTAACGACTTGTATATCTCATTGTTGCAGTGGGTCCACCTGTCTCTCTATTTTTGAATTTTTATTAATTGGCAAATTACTGACTGTATTTATGGCCTAGAGTAATACACTAATTCATGAGTATACTGTATCATAATCAAATCAGAATATTAACCATATCTACCATGTAAAACACTTACCATTTCTTTTTGATAAGAATATTCAAAATCTTCCCTTCCAGTTATTGTAAAATAATCAGTGTTGTCAATTATCTCCATCTTACTGAATAACAAAGAATGTCAGAACTTACAACTTTTGTCATTTTGTAACTATTCTACGCAGCACTTTCATGATCTCAGCGTCTCTAAATTTTTTGAGGTCATAAGAAATACAGTCCCAAAATGTATAAAACAAAAGGCTTTCCTTAACTGAGATTATTAGCAGTACCCATTATGCAAACCTCAGTTTCATTTGGCATTTCAATGCATGTGCCCCATCACCTTCACTCCGCTGTCACTCTTACAGCCCTCCTCCTTTGTAAAAATAGTACAACAGCTTGCATCGTTTATCGGTCTATTTTCAGCTAAAGTACTGTGCTCATGATCATCAATTCTATAAATTCAACCTCCCACTTCTGATGATATACACCCCCTAAGAGAGCTGGCTTTACTTTCCTGTCGTTCTTTATTTAGTGTATATTAATTGTAGCTAGTGGTTTCACCATGGCATTTCTTATGTGTATATTTTATATTTTAACCAAAATACCTCCTATTGCTTTTTTCCCATCCCCCAGTCCAGTGTTCAATAGCTTTCAGTGTGACTCTTAGACCATTTTTTTAAGTATAAAGAATGTTTATTTTCTTATTGTGGGCTTTAATGTTTCAAGTACCTTTTCTCAAGTACCTCGCAGGGCGGGATAAATTTTACCAAATAAGAAAATTTCTCTAATCTCAACTTTAATGTTCCTTTCACATTAAGGATCCTACTATTTCATGCTGAATGCTTGATAAGAAATGTATGCATTATCCTGCCCATGTAATTGTAACCCCTCTGTACAGTATGTTCACACAAAAAAATAAAATTAAAATAAAAAAAACAAAAAAAAAACAGTGACATGTTGATCCTAGTATTTTTCTGACTAGTTTTGAGGATGAAATTCCAACTTTAAAATAATTCCATATACTAGTGCACTGTAACAGCATCCTGCCTGTAGACCATATGAATACAATTGTACATATGAAAAACAGATTAGATAAACTAGGTTTAAATATTTCACTAACAGCATATAAAATGTCAACTATTACAATAAAAGAAAGGTTAAAAAACCTAACAAATGAACTCTTAAGTTAACAAATAAGGAAAGGAAAAAGACTGTATAAGCAGTAATTCCTTTTAGAGGAATGGCAGATTAGACGGTTTGTGAAGATGGGTATGAGCCAGTAAACAGAGAGCATTCTAAAGATAAAAGTAGAATAATAAATACATATTTAGGAAGCAATAAGCAGAATATACAGGATAACAAAGTTTTTTTTTCTTCTTTGAAAAGTACCAAAGGAAAAAGTTGAAAAGGAAATTTCAGTAGACAAAAAATTATTCACTTTTTATGATTTGCAACTGAAATGGTAACTGAACCCCAAAGCTGACAGCATTGTAATTATAAACAAAGCATGCTTTTAGGAATATTCACCTATAAATCCTCATCTCATGCGTGACATATGTATAGTAATCAATAGATGACTTTTGGAGTAGTGGTAATTATCAGGACAAACTTCACCAAAGCTTTTTCTATTATAATGCATGTATGGGGCCAGAGCCTCAAGACCAAAGTACTGAGTAACATAGTTAAGAAAACAGATTACTGTGACTTGTTAAAGAATTTAATATTAATCTATTTTTCTTGTACTTTAATGAAGTACAAATGATGATAAACATATTACTTTTTCCCTAAAGAACACTGTCTTAGAACAATAGGATATAATCAGTAATAAAAAATGTCTAAGACTTCCTAAATTTCCACTTTTAAAAAATAGCAACAAAACTTGATCAAATCTTTGTGCTGATTCCTTCTCTTTATAAGAGAAATATAACATCTTAAATTAGATGTGTATTACTGGAATCATGGTAATAGATACACAAAAAAACACAGCATCCATAAATTATAATCATAAGATTATTAGTAGTATAGAGAAAAAATAAAGGAAAAGGAGATAGGATGGGAATCTGAGAATTACTTAGGAGAAGGCTGCACCTTGCAAACAGGGAGATCATTGGGAAGGCAGCATTTATGTGAAAACTTAAAGCGAAAGAACACTCACTTTATTGTTCTCTAATTACTTTTTTCCTTTAAAATAATTTGATTTTGAATAATGAAGGTATTCAGAAATTATTCTTCCTTGTGGGTAATGACACTTGAAAAACACATGAAAATTTCAGTCTGATTTACTATGGCAGTTATTTATACTGAATTAAACACTGACTCCATATTCTTACTATATATTGAAATCTGAAAATATTCCTAAATATGAGACCAAATTGTTGCCTAAGTAGTGTGAATAACTATTTATGGCAATATGCAAATAGTCTCTAAAGCATGACAGTTATCAAGGAATTTCAATAGCAATTGGTATATTTATGCATGAAATGATGCTGAACACTTCTTTCAATTAAATGTAACAGGAGGTAAAAGGAGTAAGATGTAAAAGTCTATGAAATAAGGTTGGTTATGAAGTGATTATTGGTAATGGTATGGTGATTTGTATTTGAGGGAAATCCTTATTCTCTCAAGATCAAAAAAGTAAAAAAAAGTTAAAGCAAAGCATAGTTTCAAGTTATTTTCAACTCAAAAAGCTAATACCTACATATTCCTCAAATATGTATTTTTTACATACCCAAAGGAAAGGGAAAACAATTTAAGTGAGGCAAATTAAGAAATTACTAATGTAAATTCTGCTACTAATTAAAAATACATTATTCTTATTTTAATTTTATAACAAAGAGTACTAATATTCAAAAGCAATGAAACCTGTTTCTTAATGATATTTTAACTATTGAAATAAGTTAAATTTAACATCAATGGGAAACTGGCTATAAACTGTTCCTATTTTCTCCTGTAGGACTATATATTATATGCCAGAACTATTTATAAATAGTTGAAAGAGGTGTGTGTGTGTGTGTGTGTGTGTGTGTGTGTGTGTGTGTGTGGTTGCAGGGTTGTGAACTCAGGGTCTGGGTGCTGTTCCTGTGCTCTACCATTTTGAGCCACAGCTCCAATCTGAGTGGTTAATTGGATCTAGGAGTCTCACAAGGACTTTTCTGCGGGGTTTGCTTTGAAACACAATTCTCAGACCTCAGCCTCCTTTATAGCTAGGATTATAGCCATTAGCCACCAGTGCCTGGATGAAAGGTGATTTTCCTATGTATACTTGTTTATGGTAGACAAACTGTTAATGGATTGCTATTTAAACATTCCTTGCCATGTCAAGCAATAGATAGTTTTGTGTATGTGTACATATGTGACAGAGGCAGTAAATGATATAGATGCTTCATTATGAATAGAATCCATTTTTACTAAATCCTATTAATAACTTTATTAAGGAGGTTTGAAGATCATGATATTGATGGTTAGAAATGCACTTACCACTTGTCCATTGTGTGGGTTCTTATGAGCATATGGAGGTCCACGAATATGATTCCACATCTGTCCAGACGTCATAGCAAAGACTATACACTGAAAACCAGGGTACAATGTTTCAATATGTAAGTCAGAGAATAGCAGGAAAATGCATTTAAAGAAAGAATGGGAGCTAGGTACCAGTAGCTCACGCCTGTAATTCTAGCTACTCAGGAGGGTGAGATCTACGGATGGTGATTCATAGCCAACCTGGGAAGGAACATCTGTTAGACACTTACCTCTAATTAATTACAAAAAGCACCAGAAGTAGAACTGTGGCTCAAGTGATATAGTGCTAGCCTTGAACAAAGAAACTCAGGGGAAGTGCTCAGGCCAAATTCAAGCTCCAGGACTGGCACAAAGGCACACAAGCACACACACACACACACATACACACACACAAGTGAGCATGCACACACATGTGCACACAGACACACACACACTAACAACAATGTTCATCACAAAACTTAAAAAATGAATCATCTATCTTATTAAGAAATTTTTATGTTGGGTAAATTCTTCTTTCCTCTGCCATATCAAAATCCATATGTATATCAACTAAGATAGATACTTTGCTGTGGAGAACTCTAATGACTAAACTGGATAATGTGTGAAGTAGCTGGCATGGAAACATGGTATCATGTGCCTACCTAAGCCAGACAACAGCACAGACAAAAGCTGAAGGTATAGCCCAAGTGATAAAGCACAAGCCTAGCACACATGAGACCTCTTCAAAAATCCAGTACTGCCCCTTGCCCAAACCAAGGACAGATGAAAACATGGTAATTATCCAGATCCTTTAAATTTCAACAGTACTATGAATCACCAAAAGCCTGCATTCATAGCTATAGCTTACTTATATTCTTGTAAGTACTGAAATGTTTTCAGCAAAGCATGTAACAGTTAAGTCAGATGTGTAGAAATGGAAGAAACCATAAAAAGATGTTAACTACCCACTAAAGAAAGAAATGTATTGTGAAACTAATCTTGAAGATTCAAGGTATTAGCAGAGAGGATTGTAGAGTGTTTGAAACAAAAGTTACAGCTCAATCACTGTAACTTAACTATGATCCTCAGGTCTCAGCCTCCTGAGTAACTAGGATTACAGGTATGAGCCAATGCCCCTGGCTCATTTCTATTTTTTGAGACAGTCTTGCTATGAATATAATATAGGCTGGCCTACATGCAAGCCTCAAACTCATGATTCTCCTGTCTCAGTCTCCCAAGTGCTGGGGTCAGAGTTTCTGGTTTGTGTTTTGAGCAACTAGGTAACTGTGGATTGAACCAATGATATATAGAAATGAGAAAGGCATATAAAGGAAAGGAAGCTGGTAATAAAGCCTGAGCTTAGTATTTAAGTAGAATAACTACTTTCAATACACTCATTAGAAAAAAAGTTACCTGGTAAGATTGCTAAGAGATACTTCCATATCTTATAAAATGACAAAAAGTCAAGGGGAAAAAATCAACTGACAATACACTGTTTATTTTTCTTGTCAAGAAAATGGATGTGATTACTCCAGCACAACAGGTGGGATACAATGAAAGCCTAAGAAGGAACTCTGAAGGAACTCTATAAGTGGATTCAAAAATGGTCTGCGCAGAACTGGGATAGACATAACAGAGTTGGAAAGATGGCATATTCTATCTAAAGAAAGACCCAGCTGAGTGCCAGCGGCTCACACTGTAATCCTAACTACTAAGGAGGCTACAACTTGAGGATTACAGTTCGAAGCTAGCCCAGGCAAGAAAGTCCATGAGACTCTTATCTCCAATAAACTATTCAGAAAAAGTGGAAGCGGCACTGTGGTTCAAGTTTTAAGAGCACTAGCCTTGAGCAAAAGAAGCTCAGGGACAGCACTCAAGTGCTGAATGTTCCAGGACTGTCAAAAAAAGAGAATAGAGGACTTAGCAGCTGCCAAAGCTAAAGAATGATCTCACACAAAGCAACCGGAGAAATCTCAATTCCCATAGGGTGGACAGACCATACACAGATACTATAATATCTAGTACATTAAAATATTTCCACAATCTCAAGACCTGTGTCTGGCGTGCTTTATGTGAGAAGATGACTATCACAGAAATTGAACATAAGCTGGGTGCCGGTGGCTCATGCCTGTAATCCTAGCTACTTAGGAGGCTGAGATCTGAGGATCATGGTTCAAAGCCAGACAGGCAGAAAAGGCTGTAAGACTCTTACCTCCAATAAACCACTCAGAAAACCAAAGTGGCACTGTGGCTTAAGTGGTAGAACACTAGCCTTGAGCTGAAGAGCTGAGGGGCAGTGCCTAGGCCGAGTTAAAGCCCCATGATCAACAAAAAACAAAACAAAACAAAAAGAAATTAAACATAGACACACTTAAGCTCTAATACTTGAGTTTCTGGCCTACTTTCAGTACTTAGAGATTTGAGGCAAGTACATTACTCTGAGCTTCAGTTTCTTTTCTATACTATTAGTATTTCAATCCATCTTTGTAAACTACTGAATTATAAGTGGTTAACTTAAAAACTAAGTAAAAGTACTCACATAGTAGTCAATTACATGAGTAATATACTCTTAATATCATGATATATAATATGCCCTTAATATCATTTATTGTTAATCCAGTTTTCTCCCACACCTGTAAATAGCAACATAGAGCATAAGTGACAAAGAACAATCATAAAATTTTTCATTTGTAAAACAAAATTTAAAAAAATACCACCACCACCAAAAAAAAGGGGGGTATTAGTAAATGACTATAGAAAAACCATGCCTGTGGCCTAAAATTTCAGAGCTTTGTTTTTTTCTCTTCCTACCTATCGATTATGAAATGTCCTGGTATATTTGCATGTTGAAATAACATTAGTAGTTACATTGTTATCATCCCAAGTTTAGGGACATGTGACTTCAACAGAAAGTACATAAAGCCTTAAAGTACAGGGAAGTAAATACAGAGAAAAGAAATTGCATCATTCCACATTGAGAGTATAGTACAGAAATAGATTCAAAAGAGCTAAATAGGAAAATGCCAAGTGTGGCAAATTAGAAGGTAAATGAAGAGTTGTAAATATCCATGAGGAATTAGTTGATTTGGAATTAACACTGGATTTAGTTTCCTTGAAAATAGTTGGACGCTGAACAAAAGCATTCTCAATGAAACAGCAGAGCTTTAGGAGAAAAGAATCAAGAATAAGACAACTACTTCAAGGAGCTGGGTCACAAAAGTGATCAAATAAGTAAGAAAACTAGTGTTACATTATTTTAGGATAAGTTTCTATTGCTAAATAATGTTTAGTAACTATATTTTTAAGGGAAAATTTTATGATAACATTGAAAGAATGGAGAATTGTTGGAGCACTGGTACTGATAAATGAGAAGGGACAAAATAATCTAGTACACAAGTGGGGGTAGTAATCTTATATGTAAGTAGAAACCATTCAAATAATACAGAAATGGTGGGATAAAGGGCAATCTAGTTCAGCAGTGATATTCATTAGATCCTATGTTCAAAATGAACTATACAACTTGCAGCATGGGGGAGTTAGGAGGGAAAAACCTGGGAGAAAACAAGGAAAGAAGTGACACTTTAAAAAAAAAATGTCCTCACTACCTGACTTATGTAACTGGAACCCCTCTGTATATCACTTTTACAATAAAAATAAAGACTGCACTGGAAAAGTAATTTTAAAAAATTAAAAATGAACTCTTTACCTGACATATACCTGCAACCCTTCTGTACATGATCTTTGTAATAAAAAATTACAATAATATTAATGATAATACAGCAGTCCACAAAGCCCAAGAGATTCATGTTTCAAATGCAGTGGTGGAAGAAAGTCAATAAATCAACATAGGATGAAAACAAATCTTCATTTTTAATTATCTAATAAAAATACAATTTACTTCAATTATGCATGTAGCTGATTAATCACAATAATTTTTGAAGTATCTGAAATTTTGTCTATGAGACAAATACAGATATTTCTCACCAGAAGCTAAAACTCAGGACCTGCATGCTTCCTTTAGTTTTTTGTGCTGAAGTCCGGTGCTGTACCATTTGAGCCACACTGCCACTTCTGGACTTTTCATGTTTCACAAACTTTTCTCTGTCCAGGCTGGCTTCTGCTCTAATCCTCAAATATAAGTCTCTTAGGTAGTTATATTGTAATTTTTAATTAACAAGATTACAAAATATGTACCATATTTTTAGAAGTTTTCTGCTTATAGTTTTCTCTTTTTTAATTGATCTTTATTGAAAAGGTGATGAGCAGGAGGTTACAGTTACATAAAGTAATGAGTACATTTGTTTTTAACCACTGTTTCTCCATCCCTCGTTTTCTCCCACTTACCTCTCCCTACTCTCCTCTACACCAATTAGTGAAGCATGCTTATAGTTTTCAAGCATACCTCCTCACTAAATGTCCTAATACTGAAGACTTGTAAAATTTCTGCTCAAACTGGCTTATTTCCTCATAGAATCAGTCTCATGAAATGCAAAAGATGTTCTTTTTGAGTATTTTCTTCAGAAAAAAAAATGACAGTAAAACAAATACTAAAAAAAGCAATCTTGGAAAAGGCAATTGTGAACAAGCCATTCAAGATTATTTGTTGCTGTTAGTTTAGTAAGTCCCTTTGAAGATACTTTGGTTTCTAGATTTACATTTTCCTTGAGACACATACTAATAGCTTCATTGTTATAATGAAGATGGAAAACCAAGATTTCTAAGTACATGTTAACCAGAATACTGGTATCTTACTGTTGCACAAATCTGGTTTCCCCATCCTCAGTACACAGATAGGGCTCCTGAGGGCAGGGCTCATGCCCTTCTCCTTTTATTGTGTCCTACTTTACGTCTTCATGTGGTTCTCCACAGTTCTGAGTATATATTTTCAAACACCTAATTGTTATTCTAAAACTCATCAAAATGTAATAGCATAAATTGATATTTCTAAGAAAAAAAGTATTTTAAATAATAGTGAAAATAAAGACCTTATTTTAAAATTTCCTTAAACCAAATTGTATGTATACACCCATTAAACTTACAGTCATTCAACAAAAACTTATCAAGCTCTTTCCACCGGCCAAACACAATTCTGAACATTAGGGAGACACACACAAAAACCTGATAGAAATCTCTACCTCACGGTACAAAGGACATACTTACTTCTAGTATAAAATAGGTTAGCATTCAACAAACCCTGAACTGAAAACAAGGCCACTTGATATCTAACTCATTCCTAGGTTTCCATAATCCTTTGGTGAGCTAAAATACACTAACGGCCTGAAGATGCCTCCATTCTCCAAACATCTTTTTTCCTGTTTGTTTGGGTTTCTGTTCTATTCTGTTTTGTTTTGTTTTAATGAGCTCCTCAGTTCCTAAATCTCCCCAGCGGGTAGGTGTGGTTTCATGTCTACTTCAGTCACAACTATGATTTTAACAATAGACTCGCATGGGAAAAAAAATTTAGTTTGGAGAAAATGTTTCACATCTAAGCTAAAAAAGAAAGAAAATTAAAAAATAAACAAAGAGGTGTGGAGGAGATCAGGAGAAAGAGTGAAGGAGGAAAAGCAGATGGAAAAGGAGTGTATATTCTATAAGAACTCTAAATAATTTTTGGCTAATGACAAAAATTTCAGGAGAAAAAAATCACTGAACTCTATTATTTTTAATTGTTGCTCATAGTTCTTGAATTTTCTATGCAGACAAGTATACCATAAGCAGATCATATCATAGGTTAGGAATAACACATGCTTCTTCCTTAACAATTGTTATTCCCTATACTTTTTTCTAATCTATACCTTAATTCTATGAGATGAATAGTAAGAATAGTAAGAAATAATAGGTATCATTCTACATTATCACTACTGCAATATCTTTTATGAATTTTTATAGTTTACCTAAGAACGTTCTCTTAAATTTGTTGCTTGTTAAACTTTATAAAACTTTAAGAATCATGATAGATAGCTAATTATATCGCCTCTAGGCATACTCATAATCAATAATATTTCTCTTCTATACATCTAATACACTGGTTTACACTTAATTTATATCTTCCCTAATGCTTAACCTTTCCTACAACCAATACTTGGCATTGTACATAGTACTGAATTTACCTATTTTTTTTAGAATATCTGCTCATGTATTCATAAGATTGGCTATAGGCCATTGTGATGTACTCCTGGGTGCTGGCATTCTCTTCTATATATTATCCTATTTGGATCATTGCTTGTCTCTAAAGGCCTCAAGGGAACTTAGAAATCCAACTCCCTTTTATGGAGGTGGCTGCTGTGCCAGTGCCATTTCCATGTTCTGGAAGACAGGCCCTCATACATGTATAAGCTCAGACATATGCTCAGTCAGAGCTCCATGCTATGGCGATGGTGGTGGTGGTAGTGATTCCTCTCTCAAACATGGACCAGCTGGAAAATGGTGCCATGGTAACAACCAGGCACCATCTAAAAACTCTATGGTCTCAAACAGCACCAAGCAGAGGAATGGAATCTAAGCATCTTGGTGCAGTTTCCCAGGTGCTTGCCCTACAGAAGCCTAGGCTGTGCTGAAAGTGGTCCCTGTCCCATACCTCACAGCTGCCTGTGCTTCCTTTTATTCTTCGCCCCTATCTTTCAAAACTATGGGCAGATAATAGGCCAGCTATGTTTATTGCCCCAACTGCTGCCACTTCAGGACTGCTGGGGATTGTGGTACAACTAAATAAAAATAAAGGAGCAAAGATTTGAAACAAAATAATCCTGAAGAATTTCCCCTGTGTTTTAACTTTAACCAAACCCTTATCTACTCTTCAATCAGAGTGTATCTCCGAGAAAACTGTCTGTATGACTTTGCACTTGCAAGTTTAGACTTACACTAAATTCACAACAAGGAAAACTAATTGCCAACCCATAGCTAATCAGATACCATTTTGAACATGATGTTAGTGCTCACACCTGACTTAAGTCTACGGCGTCATACAAACAGGTATATAAACTCAGATTCATTAACACAATATTATAGTTTTCTGCTTTACTGTTATGTAGCTCTCAAAATTGTTGAAAAGAAAAAGTGTCATGTATCTTTCAAAATAGTGAAAAAGAGAAAAAAAGAAAAATAACATCTGGAAATCTGTTTCATTGTTGAGTCTGTTTGCATAATATAAATATAAACAAATTACATATACACACAAAGCACTAATATTTTAATTAATCTATGCAGCTGCCTTCTCAGTCTGAAGATATTTATTCATATGAATATACCTCATTTTGTTAGCTAAATTACAAAATTTAGTATGATCTTAAGTCATTGAGAAGAAAAATATTTTTGACGAAACCAAAATAGATCGTGTTCAGCTGGATTCTTGTAATATCCTAGTCTTCCATAGGCCCAAATTGCCCCTTTCTATCAACTGCTCATTGCTACTAAAGTGATTTTTACACATAAATGCAATGATGCTTTTTTCCTATGGAATATTTTGATGACTTCCTTGTACCAGTGGGATAAAAGCCATATCCCTACACACTGTGGACAAGAGTCCATCTCTTTTCTCTCCAGTATCATTACGTACGTCTTTCTTGGCTGTAACAACTAAAGAATTTCATTTGCTTTTTCCAAATTCACTGCTGTCACACTCTGGGATGCCTATCTTGATTGTCTTTGCTCTCAGTTAGGTATCTTTCTTCTGGATTCCTATAGTTCTCCCTGTTTTTCTCCCTCTCAGCCTGTACCTTACACCTATTTGTTTCTATTGGTAAATTTGTACATGCAGAAGGAATTCATTACATACCCTCAAAACCTAACAAATACCAGGTATATGGTAGACACAAGAAGTAATTGGTGAAGAAAATACTGTATGAGCTCATTTTTAAATCTCTACTGTTTGAAAACTATTCTATAAACTATTAGTTCTTTTAGTCTTACCATATTTCTTAATATATGCAGCATAAATTTACCATTTGTAATGTGCCAAGAACTAAAGAACATCACTTTTTAAACTTATGTTGTTTTTTTGTTGTTTTTTGTTTTGATTTTTTTGTGCCAGTCCTTGTGCTTGAACTCTGGGCCTGGGCACTGCCCCTGAGTTCCTTTTGCTCAAGACTAGCACTCTACCACTTGAGCCACAATGCCACTTCTGGTTGCTTTTTTTTTTTCTGTGATTAATTGAAGAGAAGAGTGTGAGGAACTTTTCTGCCCAGACTAGCTTTGAACCGCTATTCTCAAATCTCAGTCTCAGTCTACTGAAGAGATAGGATTCCAGGCGTGAGCCACTGGCACCAGGTGGAGGTTTTGGTTTTGGTTTTTGGAGGAGTGTGTGTGTGTTGGTCTTGGAGCTTGAACTCACAACCTGGGTAATGTTCCCTAAGCTTGTTTGTTCAAAGCTAACACTCTACCTCTTGGGCCACACCTCCCTACTTTAGCTCACACACTTTCCTTCCTGGGCTGGCTTCAAACCACAATGCTCAGCTTCCTATGTATATAATAATACCATGCATGAGCCACCAGCACCCAGCTCATATTTCTAAACACATTCAACATACGTTTATTTACCATTTGTAATGTGCCAAGAAATGAAGTACATTGTATTTTAATAAAATGAAGGAAGATGGAATAATTTCAACTGATAGTAAACTTTTTTCAGCCCAGTTATGAAAAGTTGATTCTTATCATTTAGACTGATTTCTACTATGATAATGATCTGGCTATTTCTGTTAATAATATTAAAACTTCCATTATAATCTGAAAAAAGCAAAAAGAAGGATAATTAGATAACATACCAGTGACACCATGGCCCACCCAGTCTTGTTATAGATGAACTCCAAGTTGTTTCTTCTTAAATAGAGTAAGCCACCAACAAGTGACACCAACAGGGCCAAAGCAATGGTGCCAGAGTAGTTGGGCGGTCTGAAAACCCGAATCTGCAAAAATTCAATGAAAATTTACATAATAAAAGATAAATACTTTTTTTATCCTTTCTGTTTTTATATGCTAGTAGCAGCTTTGCATTCAAGAGGCTTATGTTTTGACTTGGCTTACTTACTCACTTGAGGCATGCCTCCAGCTTAATTGTTGGCTGGATAACTGAGATGGAATCTCCTCAACTTTTCTGACCAGGCTGGCTTTGAACTCTAACACATGATCTCAGCCTCATGCATAGCTAGGATTACAGGCATAGCTAGGATTACAGCTGGTGCCCAGCTTTGTATTTTTCCATTTGACCATATTCTAGAACTTCCGATCTTCAGCACCAAAAACTCAGAGACATATCACTCCACCTTTGACACCTGGCATTGATAATTCTTTTATTATCTACTTCTAAGTCAAAAAAAATTGAATTAAAAACACAGAAACTAGGTGAAAAGTCCTTCTCTTCATTTTAGACAAATGCACTCAATCATATGCAAATCTAACACATTTAATAACACTAAGTGACTCTAGTATACACACCAACTACTGGATTAACTAGGAAATAATCGAGTAAGATGTGTGCATATTTGTATTGTTTCAAATGTGGAGTTTTTTTAAAGGCTACTTTAAACAATTGTATTAAATATAAACCATATACCATGTAATTCACCCCAAAATGAACAATGAACTAGTCTTTAATATATTTGCAGATGGCAGATGGCACACAAATTTTTTCACCTCAATTACCCACTAATTCCCCCTTAACCTGCAGCCTTAACTACTAATTCACTTTGTAGCTACAGATAACCCTAACTCTAGACTTTAATATAATGTTAGACCATTTGAAACTGATGTCTTTCCATTAACACCAGGCTTTCAAAGTTTACACATGTTGAAGCATATGTCATTATTTCATTGTTTTCTTTTTTCTTTTGTGGGGCTTGAACTCAGGGCCTAAACACTGTCCCTGAGCCTTTTTGTGCTCATGGCTAGCGCACTACCAATTAAGCCACAACTCCACTTCTAGTTTTTTGAGTTGTTAACTGGAGATAAGTCTCATGGGGACTTTACTGCTTGGGCTCACTTTGAACCATGGTCCTCAGATCTCAGCCTCCAGTAGCTAGGATTACAGGCATGAGCCACTGGCACTCCACTTCACTCCTTCAAATAGGTGGATAATATTCCCTTATGTGACTACACCTATTTTGTTTATTCATTAATCCAGCTGATAGACATAATAGTGTTTCTACCTTATGACCACTATAATTTATGATGTATGGGTTCTTTTCTCTTGCACAGGCAGCTAGGAGTAAAAGGCAAGGTCATATGAAAACTATGTTTACTAGTTTCAGGAATTGCCAAACTCTTTTCAAAGTAGTTGTATCATTTCACATCCAATAGTACAAGAGGGATCCAGTTTCCCCATTTCCTTGACAGTCTCCATTATCTAATGGATTGTAGCCATGATACTGAGTGGGAAGTGCTATCTCATTATAGTTTTGATGTTTCCCTATGGACTGAATATTCGTATATTTTCCTTGCAGAAAAGCTTATTTAGATACCAGTTGTGGTTTATCTTTTTTATTACTGAGGTCAAGAGCCCCAAATACATAAATTTCATCAGAAAAATGATGGTATATATTTCCCACTTTTCGTGGGTTGTTTACTCACTTTCGTGTAATTCTCTCTTTAAGATAAAAGGCTATTTTTCAAAGTTGATAGAATTGGTACAGTCATGATTTCTACAATATATAGAGATATTGGTTCTCAACATTTTTCAGTAAAATGAGCGAGAGTTCTTTAAAGACATGATGTACTGAATACTGTGCAACAGATACTAGAATAAACAATTATAAAATAAAAATAGTATTTAGAGAAAAATGAGGGAGTCAGAGATCAAGAACCGGGAGCACAAAAAGGGCCGAATGGTCTAATGTAGGGCAGTTCTAGCACCAAATAATTTAAGAATGGTGATAGAAATCACATAGGAGTAGTATATTTTGTATTCTTTCATGGGTTGGTCAATCAGGTACAGAAGAAGCTCAAGACAAACCAATTCTCACAGGTTCTAGACATATGAGACACTACATACACCCAAGGCACATGAGAGATACCAGTGTCGCTTAGTGGCAGAAGAAGGGGCGCAGTACAAAGTTAAACTATTGCCTCTATTGGAGCTTCCAACAGTCGGTCAGGGCAAACTGGGTAGGGCAATCAGTTTAAGACTGACTGCTCCACATAACCTTAGGGGATTTCAGGGATAGAGGTAGTTTCTAACTGCTTGGTACCTTGTCTGGAATGATTAAGAAAGAGGAATATTGTCTCCTAAAGGTATAGAGAATACATAGGTCACAGCATTGAACAGGCCTCAGCATTAAACAGTTTTTTTTTTTTTTTCATGAAGACATGTTCCTGGGCAGGCCATACAGTATAGCTGCAATTACCTAGGTCTAGGTCAGGCAAACTCTTACCAGCTAGAATGCTGTAGAGATATTTTGTGTTTTCTGGGAGAGTTGCTGTTATTTAGGTTTCTGGGTGTGTTTTGTGTTGTTTTTTGGTAGTGGTGAAGGTAGTACAAATATTTGTACACAAGCTATTACATGCTCAGCTTGTTTGTTTAGTTGATGCTCCATCATTTTCACCAGGCCTCCAGTCCTGATTTTTGCTACTTATTTTGGAGATAAGCCTCATTTACTTCTCTGCCCTATACATATATAATCATCAACATTTTTGTTCCATTCCTTCTAGAATACATGGTCTCTTTCAACTTATAATCATATTCCTGTTTTAAATAAAAATATTCTATTAGAAATATTTTTAATCTATTTTTGTTAGATTTGGAGCTTCATTCTCTGTGACTAAAATGAATACTATTTTAAAAAAATTAAATAGCTAAGAATTTGAAACCCCTAATTGTTGTATCCATTCAATTCCTAGAAGAGAACAACGTGTGAAGTCAGATTATATGAAATAAAGACAAGACACATTCTATTAGGAGCATTATACTAACTTATAGGTTCCAGAACAGCACATGTGCTTATTTTTCTACATGGCTCTAAACCCTTTATTTTATTTCCATTGAAAAAAAGAATCCATTTTAGAATTTAGATTTTAAAGCTTTATTAACTACTAAATACATCGAACATTTTAATGTATTTTTTATCCTCGGAAATTCTTTTTTTTTTTTTGTCAGTTATGAGGCTCTAACTCTGGGCTTTGGTGCTGTCCCTCAGCTCTTCAGCTCAAGAATAGTGCTCTACCTCTTGAGCCACAGCAACACTTCCAGTTTTCTGGTGGTTAATTGGAGATAAGAGTCTCACGGACTTTCCTGCTGGGGCTGGCTTTGAACCCTGATCCTCAGATCTCAGCTTCCTGAGTAGCTAGGATTACAGGCGTGAGCCACCAGCGCCTAGCTTGAAATTACTTTTTGTCTCTTTTTTAATGTCATTGAATCACAATTCAACAAACTATCTGAATTAACCTGTTACTGAAAGTTGAATCAGCAACAGCTATCAAGCATAGTTTGCTCAGGACAGTGAGCTGTAGCTCAGTGGTAGAATATTTGCTTAGCATATGCAAAGTTCTAGGTTCAATATCAGCACCACAAACAAAAGCACTGAAAGAATCCATAGTATGTCCTATGCAAGGAGAAATAGCCATACGGAAAAAAGTTAAGTCCTTTAGGCTTATTACAGAATACTATAAACCAAGCTAATCAAGACATATCATTAAAACTTAAGGGAATAAAAGCATACATGAACATCCGTTCTGTCAGCAATCCACTTTGCTAGCTGTTCAGCTGCAAATCCAATTCTTTGAAGGTCAAAAGTATCAGCTCTCTTTGGTCTGCCTTTTGAAGGAAAATGCATGAATGTAGGAGCAGAGTTCATGTTGAGCTGAAAAACATGAGATAAAAATATTAATTATAACATCCTAATATTCTTTATCATTGAATTAAAATTTTATACTTTTTGCATGAATTTTGAACAGATTACCTTGCAAAAATTTAAATAGCATTCTACTTAACTACCTAATTTGTTTTTAATCAAACAATGTATTTTTGGATGAAAGAGAACTGGTGAGTTTGCCTAAATTCTCTGAATGATCTCATTTAACATTAATAATTCATATTTTAAGCTATATCCCTCCATATTCAACATCTTTTTTATTGTCTTTGTAGATTTTTTTTAAGTTAGTTAAAAGAAGAAAGCTCAAAGTAGAAACGCTATAATCAGGCAGTACATGGATTATTCAACTTCTTGAGAAGTTACTGGGATTTGAACAAATAAGCATATTATGGAAGTTGCAAACACATTTTACAAAGACTGAATTCTCTAGTAAAGGTTTTAATGCCTTCCCTTTCCATAATGATAATGACTAAACAACAGAAGCCAGTGTTTATGCTCTAAAGAACTTGAATTACCAGAAACTACAGGCAAAATCCCCAATACAGTATTTTCTGCTGAACTTTTCTATTGATTCAATATTCTTAAATGGGTTTTGCAGCAATATCTCCTATAGGTAATTTCCATTCAAAAAGCATACTAAATAGAAAACAAATAAGTGTTGTTTAACAATATGATCTCTAGGAACATGTATACAGTTAATTTGCATTACAGAGAAAATTGTAAGTATATACATATAGGTATCTGTATATGCATATACACACATAAGTACACATAGACATGTATGGAAGAAATTATAGAAATTATAGAAAAAAAACTTAAAGGGTCAAGTGATTTTTGCCCTTGACTTGCAATATAATTTTTAAAGTAGAATAACAATCAAATCAAATAAACTATATTACACAACAGCCATTATCAAGGTTAAGAAATAGCTGTGAAAGCACAGATACCTGTAATAGCCAAGTTTATAGCTCCTGTCATACAGGTAAACTCTTACCTTAACTGTTATATTCAAGACAGCTCCAAATCAATGTTTAGACTGTCAAACAGTTTAGCACAAAAGAGCTGAATTCTCTAAATAAATCTATTTGTATCACATACTATTCATTTTTAATACTGCAAATACTATCAGATTTTCTTTACTTACATTCCTTTTACCCACATTAGTACTCTAGTATTAAAAAATAGTTGATAATCCATGTTCACTATGATTTTAATGTTCAAGATTAGCTGCTATTATGATAGTATTAAGAGATAAGAACTTTATGAGATGACAGGCCATAAAGACTCCACCGGCATCAAGGGAAGGGATTGTTGTTGTAAAAGGGCAAGTTTACCCGTTCTTGCCCTCCTGCTTTCTCTATTTTCTACCATGTGATGATGCACAAGGCCATTTCCAGATGCTAGATCCTTGGTATTACACTTCATATCCTCCAGTAGTGGGGGCTTATGTATTTGCTAATTACAACTATCCAATCTCATGTGTTTTGTTACTATAACACGGACTAAGACAATATTTAAACAAATATTTTCCTAAAGAAAAAGAAATTTTGCTTATCCTATTTTTCTTGCTCTTCATTTCTTTATATCAACTTTGCATTATTTTCTACAAAATTTAGGTTTAATCAAGTTCTGCAAAATTAAGATAGTACTGGAAGATTAAACCCTGTATTTCAATATTGTTGCTTATGTTGTACTGCTATAATTATTTCCTAAACATTTACACATCAGGCATAGAGGTAGACAGGTACATTTATTAGCATCTAATTTTAATCATCTAAATTATCCTATGAGAAGGGCACTAATACTTTCCCTCTTTCACAGAAGAAATAGAGGCTTAAGAATATCACTTAGTTTATAAAGATCATACAACTATAAACAGGTAACACTGTAATGTAACATCTGGTCTCCTAACTCTATTTTAGATAAATTATGATGTATTTTAATGAATATTTTATACCAATTTTGAACAAGTTTATTCTAAGACTAAATTATGAAAGTTCCTATATTTGATAAACATGACAGATTATAACATGCAACATGAAAATACACAGTATATAGCATATATGTCACATATGCACATTAACACATACACATACATATGGACATCAGAAGTCTACTTTTTATTCCATTTCACCAAACTAGGCCTATTACAGACACTTAGATATTAATTAAAATGAAGGTAATTACCACTTCCTTTTTTTTCTATGCTTACCCCATTACAGAATTTGTTCATTTGCATTTCTCCCATGGATACACAATAGTTTTTGGTCAACATGTAAATTTAAGATTACAAGAGAAGAAAAGTCTCCCTTATTATTTCCTAAATCACAACAATCAGAAATCCATATGAAAGCTTACCATTCTACACTTTTGGAGTTTAAAAAAAAGTCACATAATTCAAAGACTTTTTAATTACAATGTCCTAACTCCCCAAGGTTGTATAAACAGGGCATAACACAAATCTGTTCTCTATTCCAGAAGTCCTTCCAACACACATTCTCATTAACTCACTGTCTTACCATCAGACCCTTAGCCTCAGCCATTCCCATGGGAACCATATATACTTTCCCAGCAAGCCCCTCAATAAGCTAGAAATTAAATTTATTGTACATTTTTATTAATTATATCTTCAGATACCACAATATTCTTGACAGTGCTTTAAAATTTTAATTTTGAGAAAATATTTCAACAAAGTATAACTAAGTGGGAAACAAAACATCAGTATGAAAAATCTTTTAGTAGTTGTCAAAAAATACACACTTTACCACTTTTTCAGGCTCTAATTACCTACAAAAATCATTAACTTATAATTTTTATGTATTATTGAATTTTAAGATAGAAAACAAATGCTAAGCAAGGGATTAGGTTTTAGAAAACACAGCGCAGATGCATTTTTGGAATTACGCTCAATCAAAATAGTTCTGAACAAAGTTTCAATTGAAATCAATCTGACTTCAAAACTCATCACCATGGTAACTTTATAAAATGTTCAATGCATATAAAATAATGGAATGATTATATCTAACGATGTACCAATAAAGTTACAAACTGGCAGCCTATTGGTACCACAAATTCATAATGACTTTCTTCCCAGAAAGTTTTTTTTTTTTGTGCAAATACTGTTCAGAGGGGTTACAATTACATGGGCAAGATAATGAGTACATTTCTTATCAAGCATTGTAGCCTCCTCTGTTTCCCCTTCCCATCCTCAGGACTGTACTCCCACCCAGTGCTACCGCCCCCCCACACCAAAGATGTATAAGCCCGGCACCAGTGGCTCACGCCTGTAATCCTAGCTACTCAAAAGTTTTCTTTAATATAAATAACCTGTAAGATATAAAAGATTGAGGAATTTCATGTTAAATTAATACTTTGAGCTTTTATTGATAAATTGAGCTGGTTACATGTGAACTATGTTTCTTCATAGAGCTAGAGCTCTGATATTTCCTTCCTACAGCATTAAAGCACATCCATTTCACTTGGTGGTAGTTCTCATTCACACTACACTGTCCTCCCACAATGGGATGTGAAATATGAGTGTTTGTATTAAAGATCTACTTATGTAAAAAGACAAAGAAACTTTTAATAAAAACAGTATGCTTAAAAGAACTAACACATTTAACATACTTAGTACAGGCATATTAAAGATAATAAACTAAAGTATCCCAAACCATTTTTGATATAATTCACAGTCTTGGTCAACACAAACACTAGATCTCAATGCCTGCTCCAACCAGATTGGATACAAATGACTATTTTTCAATGCAGAGGAGACTCAAGTACATAATGAACAGTTCTTCCATTTGTGATCTCTAAGACCAATTTCCCAAGAGTATATAAAAATGTGTAAAGTACACAAATTAATATTTGAGTTATAGATCCATATATTTGCCTTTAAGTTGATTTGAAATTATATATGTATTTGATTTTATTCTTCTGAAATGATAATGACCAACTTCCTAATCTATAAACTGCTTATAAGAACTATATTTGTTTTGCTGTTTTAAAACTACATATGTGCTGCTTGTAAGAACTATATGTTTTTCTGTTTTAAAGCTATCTTTATATGTATATATAAACATATACACATAGACATACATATGTATATATATATATATATATATATATATATAAATTAACTCCAAGATACAGAAACAACAGATCTCTTTTTAACTTTTTGATTATTCTGTCTTCCTTATGAATGGTATGGTCATGTGTATATCTTTGGGGGGCAAAGAACTCAAGGGCAGAAGAGTGAAGAAATTCAGCAATGGATCCCACTGGACACTGATGAAAATGAACTATAAAACTCCTGGTAGAAATGGGAGAGAAGGACTGGAAGAGTGAGGGAACAGAAGACACTATACGAAAGAAAATGCACTCATTGCCTGACTCATGTAATTGCAATCCCTCTGCTTTATAATAACAGTATATTAATTTTAAAAACTTTTTATTTATGTTTTCCTAGAAATTTACAGCTTCTATAGATTAATCCTCTATAATACTTATTGACTATGAGTAAACACACACACAATTCTAAGCACAGATACTTTACTATTTAGTTTAGAAAAAAACATCTAAAATAAACTACAAATGAATTAAAGGGAGAGGATGTAAATGAAATCTACTACTAATAAAAAGATATTGAAGGCACAAAAAGAAAAATATGTTATTGAAATAGAAACTAATAGCAATGAGCTAATCTGGAAAAAATAAGAAAAAAATACTCACTAATGGTCCATTTCCTATTAGTAGTAAGAATCAATCAAGCATTAAACCAAAGTGCACCATGTGAGAGAAAGAAAAGGCCTATCACCCCAAATTTCTAGATCAAGGTGCTGGGTTTTTGGTGAAGCCTCTCTTTCTAAGCTTAGAAATAGCTCTTTCATCGCCATGTCTCCAAATGGCCTTTGCCAACATGCACTATTAATCTTTCTTCTTATGAGGCTATCGGTCCTACTGGAGCAGGGACTCATCCTCATGACCTCATGCAACCTTAATTATCTCTAGAAGGCCCCAGCTACAAATAGAGTCACAATGTGATTTAGGGTTGCAACACTGGAATTTGAATATGAGAGGTATAATAACTTTAAAATAAATATGTAACATTTTACATGTTAAAGAATCTACAAAAGTAAAACTTTCACTGAATTTTACACAAAATATCATAAACTTGTATAAAACATTGCCTAAACAATATATAAATACCAAAGTAACACTAGCCATTTGCTGAAAACAATCTTCCCTACAAATACAGATGTGAAGTGTTTTTACTGTACTTGCTACTTGCTACTAGCAAACCTTCTAATGATATAATATTAACTGCAATTATTTTAATAATATCACAGAATTTATTGTTTGTATCAGTTAATGTATTAACTCACTCTATGAATTGTATTTTATACAGGAAAAAAATGTAACCAACACATTGTATAATATATTACAAAACAAATACAACTTCTTTACCTGTTGAAAAACATCTGTTCCCTCATCATAGTCCACCATACCGAAAAACAGTTTGTTACAAAACGCAGAGGAATAGCGCCAGGAATTCGCCAGTATTTGATACTCTTCATTAGCTTGCCTGGAAAAGATAATGGAGCAAAACAGAAAACACTTCAGTATTCCAATAAAACAAGCAATTCTAGGGTAAAATTTGGCCATCATTTGTATGAACTGAAAGGTAAATGAATATCAACCATAAAAAGAGGAAACAGTTCAAACATGTGCAAATTATTTTAAAATTACTCAAATTTTTGCTATTCCACAATGGTTTCCATTAAATACAGACACTTAGATTCAGGCATATATCCTTTATAACTCCTCCTGTAAGGGCCAAATCCAGCTGCTCTTAATGTTATCTAAAATGGGCTATGGCCTAGCGTGGACCTTTGAATAAAAAGTTTGCCTATTTTTACTTTAGGAAAGAAAATACTTGGTGGCATTTTTTATGATGTAAGTCAAATTTTCCAATACATTGTAGTAAAAGGTATAGGTCAACATTTAACAAATTAGTTTAATGGAACAACTAAGTGAAAGAAAATATAAGATTTAAAGTTGAAAATAAAGCTACCTTTACCATTATACATTCCTTTGAGTTAAAGCACATTTACATTCAAATCTAAAAGTAAGCAAAATTTTCTCTGAGTGGCTACACCAGAGGCAACAAACAAGCCTTCCCTTAATATAGTATTTATTCATATACTGAATCCATTTTTAATGGGGATTTTGAAGATTTTCCAGATGACAGTGATTTATATAGAGAGACAGTAGGAATAGAGAAACAGCTTTGCTGGAAAAATATAAACCATAACAGAAACAAGAATCAACAAGATATTGCTCAAACATTTGGAGGAAAATAGTGCTTTTAATATTACTATTTTCAAGAGTTTATCTTATTCTTCTCCAAAGATATAAGAAGTGAAATAAAATAGGATAATGCTATAAAAACAGTAGAGTCAGTAGCCGATAAAAAATTTCCAGAAACATTTGGAAAACAGCTCATGGAAAAGTTTGACGAAGACAGCTAAAATTTCAGGGGCAATTGCAACTAAAAAGGAAAACAACCAAATCCAGAAATAGTTGAGTCTGAAGATAAGAAATAATTCTGAAACAGAGTTCATAATTAAATTTACCTGTCAAAATAATGGAGCCCAAACTTTAATCTTGCCCTACCAATGACAGAATTCACCTTTCTATTACTTAATACTAAACTATCTAAAAGCTCACTATAAATTTAAGGAAAGCCTCATGGACTTTTTTTTAAAAAGTATTTTCTTAAATGACTATTCTTCCTAGAATAGAAAAATGTTGAAAATTTAATTCGTCAAGAATACAGGACCCAAAACTATACCCTATAATAAGCACAAAAGAGTAACAACAAATATCTCTGGACTACATATCTACAAATAGAGGAGTTCAAAACCAGAGTGAACATAGTTTAACTTTTTAAATTATTATTAATATTATCTGTGTGACTGTGATTAAAAGATATATTTAGCAGTGTTACAATCTGAAGTTATTTAGCATAAACATTTTAAGAGCATTATGTCACCAAAGCACAGTGCACAAACTAATCATTACTGCTTGACTGTTATTGTGGTTAGTGGCTAGAATATTATATAAAATTATTTTTAGAATATTTTCGATCCAATTAATTATAAACTTTGAAAACTTTTGTTCTTAAATTTAACTCACTATTAATTCATACAAAAGTATAGACAATGTATCCAAGAGCAAGAAGTAAGCTAATCTCCAAGGCCTCTTATGTCATTGAGGTGATGTTTGATTGGGGCGACTGAGCAGGTAACTACAAGAATATATAAAATAATTGTCAATGAAGTATATGCTGAGATAATCATCCACAATAACATTACAGTAAATAATGGTAGATAGATGGAATGGTCAACAGGACTTTTCAGAAGAAGTGACAGAAAAGGTCAAATCTCAAGAATGAGAGTCTCACTGAGAAGAGCTAGAGCATGAACAATAAGGGCACCAGGAAAAGCAAAGATCAAGTTTTACATAGTGAAACACTCTAGGATACTGGTTTAAAAAAATCATATAAAAGAGAACGTGATCTGTTTCCTAGAGAAACATGCCAACTACAACAGCTATGCCCTCCCTCCATGTTGCAATGCATATTAGAATAATGATAAAGCTTAAGAGATTAATATTGTTAAAAAATAGAAGGATGACATCATAAATAAGAAAAAAGCATATAAATAAAATTGCATTACTGGATGATTTTATTGAAAAACATCTTAACAGAAAAATCATCAAAACAGCATTCTTGGGTAAATGACATCCATGATACAAAAATAAGTCAATTAAATATTTTGATTTTTCAACATCTGTATGCAATATGTTATGAAATGAACTAAGCAGATATATTGACTTCTTTTACTCATACTGTTATAAACTAACCTAGCCCAACTAGTCCATCATGTGATATCATATTAATGTCAATTTCATATGTAAATATGGAATCCAGAGCTTAATTATCAATGGTATTCATACTGAGTCTTCGGCATATGCTCCAACAACAATGACAATGAGGTATAGTTCATAATCGCTATAATTAAGAGGCTCGTTAGAGGAAGAAGTGGATATGTCTAATACATAAATAAGAAACTCATTAAAAGAATGCAGATTGTAGATGCTACACAGCATACAAAGGAAGTTGGCATCATCGTGGATTGAGCTATGGAAAATAACCAGTTTGTCCAGGACTAAAATTATAATAATCAAGAAAAAAGAGGGAAAAAACAATGAGGAAATAGAAATGTAAGATTCATCTTAGAAAATAAGAGGAAGAAAGACTCAAGGGGAGAAAAATTAAAAAAGACATTTCTGTAAATAATGACAAAATTCAGGTGTTTTCAAAAGAATTAGATTAGGTAACAAATTATTTAAAAATATTGTACCTGGCAAAAGTGTATAATATATTGGAAGAAAGAAAATAAGCAATGGGTTCCATTCAAAATGCTTTCTTGAAAAACAGAAGATATTATTAAAATGTTATATAAAGATATGACCTACTTTACAGGATGGGTTTTTTGTTTCCCTCTGAAACATTTTTGTTTGTTTGTTTGTTCAACATGAGTGCCCTACTACTTGAGCCACAGCTCCACTTCCAGCCTCATGCTTGTGAGGCAAGCACTCTACCACTGAGCCACCTTCCCAGTCCATAACCTATTTTATATAGTCTCTTTTAGGATATAGCAGGCCAACAGATCCACTACAATTTTCTAAAACAGTCTACATTGAAATATCTCTAGATATTTGATCTAGATAAATGAAGGCCAAATAATTTCCAATTTCTCAACTCAAATATGCCCAATACTTAATAGAAAATTAATAATAACAAAAATAAATAAGGGCTTTCTTCTGATGGGTATAATTCAGAAACAATAAAATCAATGGACAAATCTGTGTCATTAAAAACAAGTCAAGGAAGATGAGAAAAACATAATAATGGTATAGGTTGAGAGTACAAAAGATTCATTAGCAAGAAAACTATCCTCATAGCAAAGATTCTACATTCTTATTATATTATCATTATCATGTATGCCCCTAATAGTCCAACTTCTTTACACTTTGTAGGAGGTAGAGGAAATCTAACAGAAAAGATAAATTTAGTGGATTTTTGTCTACATTTATGTCAGTTTAGACTAATGATCAAAAGCAAATATTGTTCCTGCTTACTCAGACCTAAATGCCATTTCAAACTAGAAATTAAAAACTACAGTAAATCCAATATCTTCATTTACAACACAAATGCCCCAACATGTACCTCAAATTATCTACATTTACTATATTTACAAACTAAAACAATATTTTTGTTGCAGTTTACAGGAGCACTCAAGGCCTAACCTAAGAACTTAGGGGACTGTATAAGATTCTTAAGATTCGTATGCCGCCTGAAGAGGGCAGTAAGACTGCACGAGAGAGATTCAGGAGTGCTTAAGCGGTTAACTCCAGGACACTAGTTATATTAAATCTGGTATAGTAAAATCTTCAGTCAAGGAAAAACTTAACCCAAATATAATAATTTTTATAGTACAATCTTTCTTACAAGATTTCATGAAACAAAACAGATTAGCTCATCCATGGTCTATAGATAGTCTATATATTTCCCATGATGAATACCATTTTTAACTACTTTTCTTGGAAGGACACCTTACAAAGTATGTTTGTGCTTTTTACTGTTACTGCAACTTCCTTTCAGGTAACAGGTTCATATTAAAATACTAGCGCTTACTGCCTATTTAGCCATAGTTTCATGATAAATTTTATACACATGAATCATAAAAATAACAAATTTAAGAGATTTATACTAGATCTGAGGTGATCAGACTTGCCTATATAGAATTACTTCTGTAATACTGCAATATCAAATTTTCAATTAATTCTCTACCAATATGAAAATACTCTCATTTCATTAAATAAGATTCTAAGAATACAGAAAGTACAAAGCTCTGCATTTCATGTGATCTAGAATGAACATAGCAACATTATAATAATATTAGTAAAATAGTTTTCATTTTAAAGATCCTTCATGTTTGTGTTCAGATTCCAAGTTAACCTACAAGTTAATCATTGGGTTCCTATAATGACAAAAACCTTGCAACAATTTGTAAAAATCATCTAGTTCTACAAATAGAACCAACAAAACTATAGTAGGCATACTGAAAACCCTACAGAAATTACATCTATTCTCTCAAAAGTTGGCAGAGGAGCCAAGATGTGGGATTAAAGCAAGCATTATACTCCAGTTCAAAATCAAAACAATCACGATGGCAGGAAGGTCGTGGGGAATAGTTGTGGCGGTGGGAGGGAAGGGATGGAGGGGAAAAATAGAGGAGGAGGCAACAATGCTCCATAGGAAATATACTCATTATCTTGCTCATGTAACTCCTCTATATAGTATTTTTACAATAAAAAGTACAAAAAATCAAAACAATCAAGAAACCTCTTCTACTCAGCAAAGTGAGTAAAGTTAAACAGTAAACATTGAAGAAAATCAGACTGGTGCTCAGAACAGAGCATGAGAAAGAACATATTAACAATAAGCAAACAACA